ATATTAGGAAGAACTTTCTCACTAGGAGGGTAGTAAAACACCAGAACAGGTTACCCAGAAAGGTGGTGGGAGCTCCATCCTTGAAGGTTTTCAACACCTGGCTAGACAAAGCTTTAGCTGGGATGATCTAGTGGGAACGGTCCTGCTTTGAGCAGGGGGTTGGACTAGATGACCTCCTAAGGTCTGTTCCAACCCTAACTTTCTATGATTTCATGACAATCTCAAGAGGCAAGACAGTGCCTGAGATGCAAGCTGGAGATTGGGGCCCACCATGATGCATTGTCTTCTGAATCTCTCATGGATGGCCTATAGCTATGGGAAGCCTGACCCATATCCAAGTTCTGGATTTTCACTACAGATACTCTTCTGAGTTTAGTGCTGGTGAGAGATCTCAGATGGATAATCCTGATGAATGGGGTTCTTTATCTACAGAGCAGGGATAACATGGGAAATAGCAGATGCAGCTCCTTCCTCAGTTACCTCTCTAATTTGACTGGATCACCCATAGGATGTCGGAGAGAATTGTTGTGTCCTGTTCAGTCCCTGAATACCAATACATCACTATACCCAAAGAAGTGATGAGAAAGGGCTGCTGTTGAGTATTGACCAGATATACTTCAGCTTCAGTGACATTCAAAGAAGCATGATTCCTGAAAGCTAACGCCAAACAATTTCAACGGCTCCTGTTAGGTGGAGACTCAGGAACTGTATCATGATATTAGTCTTGTGTAAAAGGCCAAGAGGGAGGAGCCATGTCTTTCAGGCTTGTTTACCCAAACAAAGAAGCAGCTACACTATATTTACACACAACTAAGGAGAATGACAGTGGGTTGGCAATGATTAAACATCACTGCCTCGTGGCACTCCTACTGCAACCAGAAACACATAGCAGGAGTTTACGTGCTGCTTGGTTATCAGGACAGTAGGAAATGTGCTATAATTGATTCCCATTATCTCCATGCTAGCAATAATGTAAGACTCAGTGCTTTGGTTGCAAGGATTGTGTGTGTAATTCACAAAAGTAGCTTTAACTAGGCACCTTCCCTGCATTAAGCTTTTAATTCTCAATCTCTGCAGGGGCCATAAGATGGTATGGTGTCTCTCTCATCTGTCTGCTCTGCTCCAGATAAGTTGACCTCTCATTACCATTATTATTAGGCCAACAGTACAGCCCACCCTGATGGAGGAACTTTCTAAACATAAAAACCAGCACAGTCCCTGTACCAAAGAGCTTACAGTCTATAAAAACAAAACTAGATGAAGGAAGGCAGATGGGGCAGATGGTGATAAAGCATGCAAAAAACCATGATGGAGGGAGGCACTATGCTTTATGGAAGTTTTAAGACGATTTGAGCAGGAAGAGGCCTGTGTCCAATCTGCCTTGCAATCACTCCTTTTGAAAATGGAAATGGGTGCTTGAAAGCGTAGATTTTTAGGCTCTTTGGGTCTCTGCCAAACTGAGACTTAGGTTGTACAAGCCTCCCCCCCATTTATTTGTGTGCATCCCTTCCCTGTAACCTTCCAAGGAGTGTAGACAAGAGCAGTGTATGTTGGCAAAATGGGGCACATATAACTGAATGACAGGTGGGTAGGGGCATCACACCAGGCTTTCCCCATTGTAGTAAAGAGTGAGGCATTTGTAAGTGCTTTGAGAATCAGTCCTAAAATTCATGCCATGCTGAAAGAACCACAGGCTTAGGGGAACAGTCCTTATTTCACAGTGCACTGAAAAACACATTCGTGCTTTGTCAAAATCAGAGAGACCAATATATCCCATTCTGTACCAACAGGATTTAGTTTATGCTGGCTTCCTTGTGCTTATTGTAGTACTATCCAGCTCATATATTCAGCAACACTGCTTGAGGTATAACAAATGAGCAGTAGTATACTGTAATGCTGCTGTATGTATGAACAGAAGTATTTATGAACAGAAGTTGAGGTAGGCTTCAGTGCTATTATAGCCATTTGCCCACTGGTGATTCTCTGACTTCCTCCATGGCTGCATTTCCTTTTACTCAGAGATAAGTCATCTCCATTCCTTAGAAATACCTAGGAGGAAAATGGTACTTTAGAAAGACTGTGTGTTTAATTAGTGTGAACTGCTCTTAGGATGACCACTTGGATATTATCAGTAATATACATACTATACTATACATACAATATTATCAGCAATACGTACTTGTAAGATGATCACTGAAGTTTCAGACACACAGAGTTTGGAATTGTTCTGATTTTTGGCTTTTTTACACTGAACTTTTACAAGTCAGGAT